ACTTTCACGAAAAAAACATGTACACATAGTACATCAATAGTACTATAATTAGTACACATGAAGACATTGAAGGTGTAGATCTCCATAGATCTCCCAATCCAAGGTACTTCACGTCCATCTCCTCTTTGTTCTCCTTCAGTGCCTTCTCGCCTCGCTCCACCTTCGCCACTTCCGCTTGCAGCGCCTTGCGCAGTTCGGCCGTGGACGCCATGGCCGCCTGAGTTGAGGCGTCCACCTGACCATGGGGAGCTCACCCAGCTGTGGAGATCACCTGATGGAAATTGAGATTTAAGCAGCCCAGAATTGAGAATTATCACCTGAAAGGATGGAAAATTGAGTTTTTTGGCAAGAAAAACATGAGAATTGATGAGAATTGAAGTTGATTTGAAGTTGATTTGAGAAGATAAACCTATGGATCCTGTGGGTTATTGCAGAGGTGGGGCCAGCCTGCTGCTCCAGTCTCGCCTGTGTGTGGGTTAAAAGGGGAGACGTGTTTATTTCCTTGGAAATTGACATATAAAAGCAAAAAAACGAATGGGTCTGGACTCTGGACAATGCTGATTTTCGAACTGGAATCAAGGCTATCAAATGGGGGTCCATGCTGCCCTTTGGTAATCTTACTTGGTTAGCTGAAAAAAAAACAAGTGTAGAGACAGGTTTTTTGTTACAAAGGAACCCCTTTTTCAGTTCCCATTGCCGAATGATTGCCGGTCCTTGGTCAAATCCCCCGGTTTTGTTGGCGAAATCTCCCCCATGCCTTGCCGATGGCCGCGTTCTCTTTCGGTTTCGCACCAGCAACGCGATCCGCGCGGCGATCTTCGCGTTCAGCGCGACGCTGCGCTAAGGCATCCTGGAGGGGCCCGCCCAAGGACAACCTTTCTGACTAGGGAAATCATCTCTGAATCTCCAGTTCAGCGGTGATGATGATGGAAATACAATTTCCAGATATGTTTATACATATCTGGTTGGTGGTTTCAACCCCTCTGAAAAATATGACTTCGTCAGTTGGCTTGATTCTTCTCAATATATGGAAAAATAAAAATGTTCCAAACCACCAACCAGATATATATATATATAATTCCAGATATGTATATTATATATATATCTATCTATCTATCTATCTATCTATCTATCTATCCAAGTCTGTCATCCATTTGCGATTCCTGCGATGCATATCAAGTGATTCAAGTGTGACCAGATGTCCACCCCATGGGATGAGCAGAGGCTATACCATTCATGGTGTTACTATCTCTATCAGTTGAAAATAATGGGATCATATTGGGATGACTTGTAGAATAACTTGGGAAAACACCAAAAAAAATTGTATGTAAATTGCAAATTTTGAGGGCCTCAAACAAATCCCCGTTGCGCAGATGCTGGCAACCTGCGTCTTTTTTTTGACTTTTTGCATTCCCGTTGGCGCATAGCGTGTGCTGTCACCAGTTTCCTGGGGATGAAAAATCGTAGAGCTTTATCACTTGGATGTCTCAAAAAATGGGTTGCAGTTGTTGTACAACATTGAAAAAGAAGAGGTTTGAGTGGACAGTCGTGACTCTCTCATAGATACTCCACTGTGATTGGACAGTGAGAAACTGTCGAAAAAAAAATCGGTGGTGACAGCGCCGACAGCGCAACTGCATCTGGTCCTTTGGATCTGATACCATCTGATACCAAGGGAACCAATCTGATGGTGTGGCTATCAATCATGAAAGACCTGTCACGATACGCATTTTTCGATACCAACTTCTCAAATCATGTCCTACAACTGGATAGTTATCAGGATGTTTGTTTCCCTATGAAGCACCTTGACCCAGCTCCATTTCTCCAAGGTCAGGTGCTTGGTCTATGTACATCACCAGGGGACCTCAGGCATCCGCCGGATTGACTGAGCCCCAGCATTTGGACGTCTTGTCGTCCAAAATCGCACAGGTGTGCCTTGGAGTGGTGCCCAAAACTTGCGAAGAGGTGAAGGTTCAATGATGGTGCAGAATTTGGGTAGAAATGGGTACAGTAGAATAGGCATGTCACCGGCCAACATGATGATACTGATTTTAATTGTACTGATGAGTTGGTGTTGGATCAATTTTCGCATGGCAGATATTCCCGTTTGGTGTTTTGAACATCCTTCAAAAACACCAATCATCGAGTACGGACAAATTATCCAGATAGCGAAAATCGAAACTGTTTGAAACCCATCAAACAGTCGTGGTCGACACTTCCAGAAGCCATCATGAATTCTGGGGCATCAAAACGCTGTTTGGGAGACCTGTATTTGCCCCCAGGTCTTCCTCATTCCAAGTGTGGTCGGTTGTTGCCGCCGTTGCTGTTCAATCCTCAGAATCCCCTGTGTTTGCTGCTTCCAGTGGTGTCGAAGCACCATCCCAAGCGTCTGAATGATCTGCCATATCTTAAGTCAACACCTACGAATGTGGTTGGAACCCAGCTATCTGGGAGATAAAAATGGAAATCCAAGACTCCAAGACCGAAGAATCTGACCTAAACCCATCCAAATCCCATCTGCAGCCCAGGTGCCATAGTCCCGCAAGGATGTTGACAGCTTTTCGCGGCAATTTCTCAGCCACCTGGGCGGTCTTAAACCTAGATGAGGAAGGTCCCACTGGAAACCCCCTTGCCCCCTGGGAAGGGTTGACAACTTACTCAAAGCTCCCTCCATCTCACTGAACCGACAGCTAAGTGATGCTGAACGAGATCGACCACATTCCTTTCTGATCTTTCTGACCACTTGCGCAATGGTTGACAGCTTGCTGTCGGGAATCGCATAGTAGAACTCTTTTTCTCCGGCTGTCGCAGCACGCGAAATCCATCCAAATTCATTCAGAATCTATAGATTAATCAACAGATCCTGAACCTCTGGCCATCGACGTGCCAAATCCACATCAGCCGGAGCAATGTGAGCTCCGGATGCAAGCAACAAGCGAACCATTTCCAAGCAACCGTTTTCGATAGCCAAGTGCAAAGCTGTTTCACCAGCATCCGTCTCAGCGTTAGCATGAGCGCCGGATTTGGGCAACAAATTAACCACTCCCACCTCCTGATGCTGCACTGCAAGGTGCAAAGCTGTCAGACCACGTGCTGTCTTCCGGTCTGTCTCAACACCTGACAAGAGAAACAACCGCACTACTTCCAAGTGGCCCTTTTCAGTTGCATGATGCAGAGGGGTGAAGCCATCTTTGGTTGCACTGTTCTTCCCTTCACCGGCATCTAAAAACAAATGTGCTATTTCTGAGCAGCCCGTCATTGTGACAAGATGCAGAGGTGTACAGCCATTTGCTACTTCTTCCAAAACTTAGCTCTACCACGCAGCAGCAAAGACATTAGCACTGTTCTTGTCGGCACCAGCATCAAGCAACAATCGTGCTATTTCCAAGTAGCCTTCCTGAGCTGCAAGATGCAGAGGGGTCAAGCTGTCTGTTGTTTCACTATTCATGTCAGCACTAGCATCTAGTAACAACCGTACCATTTCCAAGTGGCCTCCCTCAGTTGCAAAATGCAATGCTGTTGCTCCTTCTTCCAATGCACTGTTTCTGTCAGCACTTGCATCCAACAGCATCTTACTTCGGGATGACCATTGAAGACTGCGTAATGCAAAGCTGTTGAGGCATCCTCTGTGGCTCTAATTTCAAGATCAGCACGAGACTCGAGCAACAATTCCATGCAGCTCGCGGTGCCCATTTGTGCCGCGAAGCGTACGGCTGGCCAGCCATCACGATCTCTCACATCGGGGTTCTGTGGTCGTTGAAGCATCCCCTCAACTCGCTCAAGCTCACTCTGCTGGCACGCAGCAACGAATGTGGCATCTTCATGTTCGTCCGATGGCCAAAAAACCAGAATCACAATTTGCAAACCCACAGGGGCACATATCTCCCGATCATCAAAAAGTTCTCCAGCACTTCCATTCAGAATTCTTTGTCTGAATCTGGAGCAACCAACTTGGTGCGAGAGGTACTTTTTCAGCCCAAGGATATCAAGGGTAGACCTGCCTGTGTGATCATCTCCAACTTCTCGGCAACGCGGCTGAAGACACACGCAACATGCTCCAAGGCTGAAGGTTCGGGCAAAAAATTGAGCCACGAGAGCTTGCGATTGTGCTGGTGGTTTCAGCTGCTAAATCAAGGGTTTTTATCCTGTCAAAATGCCCAGATGCCTTGTTCAAGGATCCATTGTTTGCCGCATCAAATCGGGTGTATGTGTTGCATACACGGACGATCGGTTCTGGATCAACCTGTTGCAGCTCAGGGTTGAATTAATTATGAAATCCCTCTGAATTAGTCCGTTGTGCTGGGGCTGCCAGCTTTCAAGCGAAAGGCGTTGATTGAATTGAGTACGGAATCCCTCCAGACAATGGCAGGCCGCATTTTACCGATCAGTCAGCAATTGAGAGGTGACTCCACCCAGTGGCCCAAGTTTTTTCACAGGTGGAGTTCGACCTGCCATCACCAAAGCTCCGTTGCTAATTGCTGGTTGTTGTCTTTTCTCATTTTTTTCACCCAATCCCATAAAGATATGCAGATGGGTGTGTCCAAAAAATTGGCATACCCGGCATACCCCCAGTCATAATCAGTCATAGCCACTTTTTCATGGGGAAAATGAGCTTCTAAAACCCAAAACCCATCAAATTGGAAGGTCCTTCACCCATTTTCAGCCAATTTTTGGTGGTCCCCATGGGTCTCAATGGTTTTCGTGACAGTTGGATCCAAGACACCAGGGCATTTCCCATCTCCCAGGGCATGGTGCCAATGGAGACGCAGCGCTGCGAGGACAAGGCCTCTTCAGCGCATCAGATTTCGCCGTTTTTGATAGGAAAACCATGGGAAAACCATGGGAAAATGGTGATTTACATGGAAAGATCCACCATTTTATAGCTAGGTAAACCCAGGTCAACCATCTATTTCGATTAGGGCCATCGAAAAACCATGGCGAAGTGTAACAAATAACCAGAGGCTACTTTTTTAGGGCTGGATGGGCCCCTGCTGGAGATCAGTCCAGGGAAATATGATGGTTTTATGGGCATATCACGTTCACAACTGGGTTGTAAGATGTTGTAAGCAAGGTTCTCCGCAAACATCACCAAATTTTCCAACCACAAAGTATCGAAAGGTGATGCGGCTCAGTCTCCAAAAGAAGCAAAACCCCTCAACCTCCCACAAGCGGCACGGGCCTGGCCCTGGCTGTTAGCTCCCCAGCATTTGACACTGCCTGGGATGTTGGCATAGGCAGGACAGCATGGGAACAACAAGCCTGCATCTCACAGGGATGCGTTCAACATCCTGCTATGTTTCGAAATTAAATGGAGGGAGTATGTACTTGGTGGTTCATCCCACTTAGTAAGTGGGTTATAACCCCGGTTATAAGTGGATTAACCCTACTTATCCCATTTATAACTGGGGTTATAACCCACTTACTAAGTGGGATGAACCACCAAGTAGGGTTGCCTTTCCTTTCGCAAATTAGTTCTCATTCGAACGTCTCAGAACTCTGGGACGTTTTCCATGTTTCGCTTCGCCTAAAATGGCCCACAAAACCTGCTGGTGATTCGGACACACATCAATGGGTTGAATACGGAAGGAATGACCCATGTTATGAATCCAATGTCTCAAATTCAATCCATCCCAGCTCAAACGTGAGTTCCTGAAATCAAGATGGCTCACCCCCTGCCAAGCATGGCTCAAGGCCACAGCCTACTGAATGCCTACTGGATCCACAATTCTTCAGCTTTCGAAAAAATGGAGGGTCAAAAATTTTGATTATAATAGTGATATAATATCTATATAATATATCATGGTTAATCAGCTTTCCAATCTATATGTTTTTTCCCTCCAGCTTTTCTGCTGAAAAATCCTCCAATTGCCCCAGGGTACCATCCACCATCCGCGCGCAGCTGTGCTCCGCACCGGCCGCCACTTGGACGGCCGGGCCCCCCAGCTGCACCTTAAGGGGTTTTAAAAGGCGTCCCAAAAAAGGGGGAGTAGGACGGAAAGATCATGTGGATCTTTTTGGATTTTTCCCGAGAGCGTCTGAGCGCAGGGTTCTTCCAATAGTGGGGGTCTGTATCTCATCTTCTCATCTTCACACCTTCTCTCACACCTTCTCATCTTCACATCTGCTCATCTTCACACCTTCTCATCTTCACATCTTCTCATCTTCACATCTTCTCATCTTCACACCTTCTCATCTTCACATCTGCTCTTCTTCACATCTCATCTTCACACCTTCTCATCTTCACGCCTTCTCATCTTCACACCTTCTCATCTTCACATCTGCTCATCTTCACATCTGCTCATCTTCACATCTGCTCATCTTCACATCTGCTCTTCTTCACATCTCATCTTCACACCTTCTCATCTTCACACCTTCTCATCTTCACACCTTCTCTCACACCTTCTCATCTTCACATCTGCTCATCTTCACATCGGCTCATCTTCACATCTGCTCCTCTTCACATCTTCTCATCTTCACATCTTCTCTCCTTTCTCTCTCCCTTTTCTCTCTCTCGCCTTCTTTATCTTTCTCTCTTTAGGCCGAGGGTGGTGCCGGCGGTGAGTCACGAAACGTCAACCCTTTCGCACGAAATGAGGATCGATCGTCAAAAACTGAGGAAAAATTGTGATTTTACTTGCCCTGGAGCAACCCTTTCGCACGAAATGAGGATCGATCGTCAAAAACTGAGGAAAAATTGTGATTTTACTTGCCCTGGAGCAACCCTTTCGCACGAAATGAAGGTCGATCGTCAAAAACTGAGGAAAAATTGCGATTTTACTTGTGCCGGAGCAACCCTTTCGCACGAAATGAAGGTCGATCGTCAAAAACTGAGGAAAAAATTGCGATTTTACTTGTGCCGGAGCAACCCTTTCGCACGAAATGAAGGTCGATCGTCAAAAACTGAGGAAAAATTGCGATTTTACTTGTGCCGGAGCAACCCTTTCGCACGAAATGAAGGTCGATCGTCAAAAACTGAGGAAAAATTGTGATTTTACTTGTGCCGGAGCAACCCTTTCGCACGAAATGAAGGTCGATCGTCAAAAACTGAGGAAAAAATTGCGATTTTACTTGTGCCGGAGCAACCCTTTCCCACGAAATGAGGGTCGATCGGCAAAAACTGAGGAAAAATTGCGATTTTACTTGTGCCGGACTTGTCTGTGTGTAAAAGCGTCTGTGTGTAAGAGTCTCTGTGTGTAAAAGTGTTTGTGTGTAAAAGTGTTTGTGTGTAAAAGTGTTTGTGTGTAAAAGAGTTAGTGTGTAAAAGCTTCTGTGTGTAAAAGCGTCTGTGTGTAAAAGACTGTGTGCACAAGCGTCTGTGTGTAAAAGCGTCTGTGTGTCAAAGCGTCTGTGTGTAAAAGCGTCTGTGTGTAAAAGCGTCTGTGTGTAAAAGCGTCTGTGTGTAAAAGCGCCTGTGTGTAAAAGTCTCTGTGTGTAAAAGCATCTGTGTGTAAAAGCGTCTGTGTGTAAAAGAGTCTGTATGTAAAAGGGTCTGTGTGTAAAGCGTCTGTGTGTAAAAGGGTCTGTGTGTAAAGCGTCTGTGTGTAAAAGTGTTTGTGTGTAAAAGCTTCTGCGTGTAAAAGCTTCTGAGTGTAAAAGCCTCTGTGTGTAAAAGCGTCTGTGTGTAAAAGCGTCTGTGTGTAAAAGCGTCTGTGTGTAAAAGTCTCTGTGTGTAAAAGCGTCTGTGTGTAAAAGTCTCTGCGGGTGAAAGCCTTGTAAAAGAGCCTGTGTCTAAAAAGCGTCTGTGTGTAAAAGCGTCTGTGTGTAAAAGCGTCTGTGTGTAAAAGCGTCTGTGTGTAAAAGCATTTGTGTGTCAAAGCTTCTGTGTGTAAAAGCGTCTGTGTGTAAAAGCGTCTGCGTGTAAAAGCTTCTGCGTGTAAAAGCGTCTATGTGTAAAAGTGTTTGTGTGTAAAAGTGTTTGTATGTAAAAGTGTTTCTGTGTAAAAGTGCCTGTGTGTCAAAGCGTCTATGTGTAAAAGCTTCTGTGTGGCTGTGTGTTAAAGCGTCTGTGTGTAAAAGTCTCTGTGTGTAAAAGCGTCTGTGTGTAAAAGCGTCTGTGTGTAAAAGAGCCTATGTGTAAAAAGCGTCTGTGCGTAAAAGCGTCTCTGTGTAAAAGCGTTTGTGTGTCAAAGCTTCTGTGTGTAAAAGCGTCTGCGTGTAAAAGCTTCTGCGTGTAAAAGCATCTATGTGTAAAAGTGTTTGTGTGTAAAAGTGTATGTATGTAAAAGTGTTTGTGTGCAAAATCGTCTGTGTGTAAAATCGTCTGTGTGTAAAAGCGTCTGTGTGTAAAAGTCTTTGTGTGCAAAAGTGTCTGTGTGTAAAAGTGTCTGTGTGTAAAAGCATCTGTGTAAAAGCGTATGTGTGTAAAAGCTTCTGTCTGTAAAAGCGTCCGTGTGTGTAAAAGCTTTGTGTGTAAAAGTGTCTGTGTAAAAGCGTCTGTGTGTAAAAGCTTCTGTGTGTAAAAGTTTTTGTGTGTACAAGCGTCTGTGCGTAAAAGGGTCTGTGTGTGAAAGTGTCTGTCTGTAAAAGCTTCTGTGTGTGAAAGCTTTTGTGTGTAAAAGCTTCTGTGCGTGTTTGCGATGCAAACTATTGTGTTGCACTTCTGCTATTTTGTCTTAATACTCCTCTTCTCGACTGCCTATAACACATCTTTAATATATTGTTTCTAATATGGTGTCTCCATACTAACAAGAGAAGACCTGCTCCTCTACGCTCTCGGGCCATCCGTCGTCTAGTTTTTGATTGGGATCCAATGAAAAGTGATGAAGATGATGAAACAAATGAAGAACTGTTGAACAGCAAAAATCATGATGTGTTGATATTTTGTTGTGGTTGAAGCTAAAAATGGTGAAGTTGAACAGCAAAAGGATTTTTGCTGGACAAGATGGGATCAAAGGTGGTGCTATGGCCAACATAGAACCAAACTACAGCAAGGATCAGCAAGGGGG